AGGAGAGGGGAAAAATAGTGAGAAGAGAAGAGACTAGAGATCCTAAACTTACCTTCCAAATGACTAGGGATGGAGCAGATGACCCCAAACCTCTAGGCTTCAGGGATCATGATATCCAAATGAAATATTGTGAATCCATATCTCATGTTCTGTAGACAGTTTCTCCCTAGCCCCCTCTGCCCCTCACTATTTCCATGGGACTGCAGGGAGCATGTTTCCCAATCAGGCTGCCCTGCACCCAGCACACCACAGTTCCCTGCTCTGACCATCTCTTGGCTCTGCTGCCTGCTGTTCTTCCTCTTGGCAGCCTGCCTGGCCCCACTCGGGACACCCCCTTCATTTCTCCAAAGCCCACCATCGTGTTATTTCATATTGACATGTACTGCCAGCTGAAGGTGTAGTGAAGGGGGCTGGGTGGTAATTGTGGCACACAGCAGGAGATAAGGTTGGGATAGCACTGTTCCTGGAAATTTTTTGGGTTCTATTTGCTACAGAGAATTTCTCCCTGGCAGTGCTCTCATTAGGGTCATGCTTCCTGCATGTGACTAGTGCCTCTTTCTCCCAGGCCCTTTCCCTCTTTTCCATGTCACTTACCATCTTTCCAGAATTTTTGTGCTATCCTCAGAAGCATAAAGTTCTCCCTTTGTTATATACAGAAAAATTAACCCTTTCCCATCCTTTTAGAACATCTCTACAGGCTTATTATTATTATTATTACTTTTTTACCTTGAAAGAGTCATATCAGGATGTTGCCTTAAACAGAGCAATACCTCGATAAATAAAAACTTTGCACTCCCCTAGGTTGCAAGATGAGCTGCAGTCCATTTGTATTTTAGGGCAAAGTTTACTTTTAGGCAAGGAGTTCTGTTTATTCAGTTTTTAAATAGTTAATAGATGCGCATGGCACAACCTTCAGAAGGAGCAAACATGCAGTGAGAAGAAAGTTTCATTTACACCCAGGTCCTTTAGCCTCCCAGGTTCCCTTTGCACTGCTACCTATTGTTACTCAGTTTTTGTGTCATACTCCAGAGATATTCCATATACAAACTAACGTGATTTTTAATTTTTTTCTAACTTTATTGAGGCATAATTGACAGCTGAAAGTTGTATCTGTTTGTAGCATACAATATAATGTTCTGATACATGTATACATTGTGAGAAGATTACTGAGCTCAAGCTAATTAACATATCCATCACCTCACACAGTTCCCTTTTTTGTATGAAGAGACCATGAATGATCTATTGTCTTAGCAGATTTCAAATATACAATTCAGTAATATTACCTATAGCCACCATGCTGTACATTGTATTATGTTTAAGTTCTTAATCCATTTTGAGTTGATTTTTGTATATTATCTGAGAAAAGGGCCAAGTTTTTTGTATATGGTGTGAGATAAGGGATCAATTTTTACTTCTGCATATGTATATCCAGTTTTTCTAACACCATTTATTGAAGAGACTGTTCTTTCCCCTTTGTGTATATCCAGTTTTTCTAACACCATTTATTGAAGAGACTGTTCTTTCCCCTTTGTGTGTTCTTGGCACCTTTGTTGAAGATTGGTTAACACTCAATGCATAGATTTATTTCTGGACTTTCTATTTTATTCCATTGGTCTATATGTTTGTTTTTATGCCAGTATGTACTGTTTTGAAAATTATAGCTTTGTAGTGTTTTGAATCAGGTAGTGTGATGCCTCTAGCTTTGTTCTTTTTGCTTAGGATTGTTCTATTTGGGATCTTTTGTATCATATGAATTTTAGGATTTTTTTATATTTCTGTGAAAAATACCATTGGAATTTTGATAAGAATTGCCTTGAACCTGTTGATTGCTTTAGGTCATATGGGATATATCCCTTTATTTGTGTATCCTTCAGTTTCTTTCATCAATGTTTTATAGTTTTCATTGTATAGATCTTTTACCTCTTTGGTTAAATTTATAGGAATAAATTTTATTCCTATAAAAATATTTTATTTTTTCATGTTATTGTAAATCAGATTAATTTTTTTGGATAATTCTTTGTTAGTGTATAGGGACTCAGCTGATTTTTGTATGTTGATTTTGTATCCTGCAGCTTTAGTGAATGTGTTTATTCTAATAGTTTTTTTTTGTATAGTCATCATAGTTTTCTATGTATAAGATCATGTCATCTGCAAACAGAGACAGTTTGACTTCTTCCTTTCCAATTTAGATGCCTCTTATTTTTCCTGCCAAATTGCTCTGGCTGGGACTTCTATTACTATATTGAATGGAAGTGGTGAGAGTGGGCATCCTTGTTCCTGATCTTAGAGGAAAAGTTTTCAATATTTTTCTGTTGAGTGTGATGTTAGCTATGGGCTGGTCATATATGACCTTTATTATGTTGAGGTAAATTCATTCTATACTTAATTTGTTAAGAGTTTTTACTATGAAAGGA